TTCGGGCGACAGAGTGAGACTCCAACTCAAAAAAAAAAAAAAAAAAAAAAAAACAACTTTCCCCCCTCTAAAGATTGACACATTTATATTTGTGCAAAATTTATTACAACATATATTCCCCAAAACGCTGAACTAGGGAACAACACTTTAAATAAATTTTATTCATATGTTCTAATATGCTGAATATCTGGGGCAATCTACCTTTTTAAAAAATTGTGTTGTAGATTTCTCTTGGTTTTTTTTTTTTTTAATTTATCCTAGAAGCAGGTAAATTTGGTGGAAAAATTTTATAAATAAGCAATTTATTTGTAATAGCCAACATGATCCAGCAAAGAGTTAAATATTTTAATATGCGTTATCTAAGAAAGTAAAATAGCTCTACAATACTATCATCATCAAATAAGATTAATGAATACAGAGGTCAAAATCTGATTTTTGAACATAGAAATTATTACTCATCTTATAAATCATGCAGTCTTTAGCTGTCAACTCTATAACAAAAGAAACTTTATAGATAATTCTACTCAAGATATCCACTCCTGCTGTTTTTTTTTTCCTGTGAAATTAAGACTATATTCACCTACCCTCTTCGTTGTATGTGAGGATCATCAGTGATGTTTGAAAAGAAAATCTCAGACCATTATACAAGAAATAATGGCAAAATATGTATTCGATATTACAAAAGTCCTCACTTAATAGGTTCTTAGAAAGTGCAATATTAAGCAGAACAACATAAAACAAAACTAATTTTACTCTGGGCTAGTTGAGAAGGACAAAAGCTCTTCTTCCAGCTTTTACTCAACATTCAAATGAATAAAAGTTAATTAATAAATATAAATATACATTTTGATAGAAGAAATAAAATCTGGAATTTGATAGATCAATAGTGTGACTATAGTTTATAGCAGTCTAGTGTACCTTTCAAAATAGAAGAAACCAACCTGAATGTTTCTAACATAAATTTTAAGAAATTTTTGAGATGCTAGATATCCCAAGTACACAATTCAATCTTCACAAATTATATAATTTATTAAATTATCACATGCATCCTCAAACTATGTACATCTATAATGCATCTATTTTTTAAAAAGAAAAAAATAATAAAATGCTTTGCATTTCTGGAGTTTAACCTTAGAGAGAGGAGCTCAAAACATATCCATTATCCTCTCTGATTCCCCTTCTTTCTTACCTCTTTCCTGTGGAAGGAGAACAGCAAATTTTCAGTGTCTGTCTCTCTGGCAAACAATTCTCTTTCCAGATATCATAGCCTTCTCCTTGCAGGGCAGAAACTGAGAAGTATCCTTTCTTGGGATCTTTGTGGTATATAATATATAAGGTGGAAATCTAGTTTACAAGGAAAGAGTAAGTTGACAGATACTTCAAAAAATAGTTTACCCTTTTGCAAGTACCACTGTACTTGGTTTTGTAGATCAATCAAGATGAAATGTTTAGCTCTTCTTCTAAAGTGCTAAGTTGAATGTACCAGGAATGTTACTGTGAGGAGTAATTTTTGTAAAAAATCTTTCATTATTCATCATAAAAAATGATTTCAGATTACAATTGTTCATCATCGTTTTTGTGTGTGTTTCGGTGTTTAAAAATATTTCTATTTACAAGTATCTCAGTCTTTTTATTCTTTTCAAAATCTGTGTCATCAGTTATATGATTTTATGAGACTGAAAAAACTGCCTTATGAATGAATACCTGTTAATTAAGAAGCACTTTTATTTTAGATGAAGGTTTATGGGGACATTGTAAGTACAAATAATATTCTCCAACACTATCATGAATTTGACTAGCCATCCTATCGAGTAATTGCTTATCTCTCTTGATTTAAGAAATTATTTTAAGAAAGTATTCTTATTGTAAAATAAGTAAAACTTTTTTTACAGTTCTTTTCAGATATTTTTGTTGGAATACATCAGGATTTTTCACTTCTAAGGCATTAAGCAATGATTTTCCACGGCTCAATCTAAATATCTGATAAAATTTTAAACAAATGTAGGTCATCTATTACTTAGTTATTTTAGAAATAAATACAACCGCTATATTTAAGGGAAGCAATGCAACTTAACAACAAACAATGTTAAATATGAATTTGAGTTGTATGATTTCTTTTGTTACTTTGTATTGAAAAGTCTATTGTAACAACATAATATCTAGGTTTACTGGAACTCCTCCAATGGATAACTGCTTTATTTATTTTCCCTTTGTTGTATTCAAATTCAAAACATTCTGAGCATCTTTATGCAATTTTATAAAGCTAGGTCCCTGATCTTCTGGGCAATACTATTGAAGATTAACCTTGGAACATAAGAAATGATTATAAATGAGATTCTATATATAATGTATTTCTTTTCAAAGCACAATGCATGTATAAAATGAATTTAGAAATGTTGCCATTAATATGACTCTGTTACATAGTTTTGTGTTTTCCTTAGGGTACAGTATCTGCAGCTATGGATGGTGGGATGGAATTCACAGTGGTTTTCCTGAAAACTATTACATAGGATTATTTTTCTACTACTCCATGACTTCACAAAGCATATTTCTATCGTTTTTCTACTTACAAAGTAAGCTTTCACTGTAAAAATGAATATTCAAATAATTGCAAAGAGTTAAATGACATAGAAATTGCAAATAACTCCATTTGAGATGAATCTGTGAAACTATTTTATTAAGTGTTCGGAGTAATCATAAAAATATCACCATGCTCTGGAAAGACAGCTAATGGAGTAAACTGAGCTCACAAGCTAAACTTATTTTATCTCCTTATTTTAGATAGGCATTTTCCAAAAACAAACTATATCACTAAAGAATGCAAGACTGTTTCTTTAGAGCCTTCCATGCTTAACTTGAAAGCTGTCAACCCAGGAGGCTGAAACAGAGCAAGATTATGAAACTTGAGTGAATAGCTCATTCTTTGCACCCGTGCCCTCGCTACATGCTGCCATGTGGTACAAGGCTGAGAGGTATGCACTATGATAGCTAATGAAGCACTTCCTTTATATCGCACTGACCAGAACTCTTATTTGAAGCCCATATATTATGCTACTGAAATCGCACAATGTTAGCCTTTGTTCTGGCTAGCAGAGGCTGTTTCTTGTCCTTTCTGTAGCTAAATTTCATGCACCAATCTTGTTAGACCCTTCACTAATGTGTGACTCTAAATCATAAAA